TAAAGTTGGTAAAAAAAGTTCCCCAGTGCTGATATGGTTGCTCCATGATCACCAGCTTCCTGTCTGCCTAGTTCTGCCATTCTCCATACCTGGCTTCCACTTCCTCATGCAGTATGGCTGCTTGAACACAAATCATGTCATTAACATTTGAGCCAGTAGGAAGGAGAAAAGGCAAAAAGGGGTGTGGTTCCTCTCTCTAAGGATACTTCCCATGTGTTATACATGATACTTCTATATTCTGGGAGTATAGTAAATGCATTGTTGTACATACCATGCCTACTACAAGGAACTTCGAATATGATGTTTCATTTATTCCTCAGTATAACCCTTATATTATCCCTAGTTTATAGATAAACTCCACTAACTTGCCCAAGGTCATGCAACTAATAAGCTGTGAAGCTTGGACCTGAACTCAGATCTGACTCCAAAGCTACCTTACTAGGTTCTTTCCACTATACCAGTGGGTCTCAACCTTGGCTGTACATTAGAACCACCAGCGTAGCTTTAAAATGTACTAATGCTTGGGAACCACACGAGATCAATTAAGTCATAGTCAAGAATATTTTGTAGAAGCTTCCCATTTGATTCTGTTTCAAAGCTAGAGTTGAGTATATTGCATTTTCTAACTTGTTTCTTTTTGCCTTTGTATGCTATATGTACCTCTGCCAAATATTTTCCTGATTAGCTGATTGCTAACATCCTCCTTAGGGTTTTACTCGTCTGTTTAATTTTTTATTATTATTTTAAAGAAATATAGAAAATTCATGTTTGCTTAATTCATATTTGCTTTGTATTTTAACATATCATTAAGAAATATATCATACATGCAAAACTGTACAGATTTTGAAAATCATTTCTGTCATCAGTCATATTAATAGACTACAGAAGAAAAATCACATGATCAAATTAAACGATGCAGAAAAAGCATTTGACAAAATTCAACATTCACTCATAATTTTAAAAAAATCCTCATGCACTTTCTGGGTGCCTGCAGGGGGAGCCATGTAGGCCTGTGGGACCCCCAGAGGCCCCCAGACTTCTGAATCCCACTGTAGGACAGGGCTCCCAGGCCCCTACTTAGTGCATTGGGAATGAACAGCCTTGCTGTTTGATCTAGTTATTTCTTTAAGAAACATCTTTTCAAGAGTCAAAAATCTTTTTGAGAATTTTATAAAAGCTCTGATTTCCCCTACCCCCGAAATGATATGTAAATTAAGAGATAAGCAAATTTTTAAATCTAAAAAAATAAATTTAAGAAACACCCTCAGAAAACTCTAGGGATAGAGAGGAACTTGCTCAACTTGATACCGAACATCTATAAAATAAAACAAAACACCTTACAGTTAGTACGACACTTAACGATGAAAGTCTAAATGCTACTACCGAAAACTACTCTCCAAATTGTACCAATTTATGTTTCTTCTAACACATTATGAGAGTTCCAGCTGTTTTTTTGTCTTTGCCTATGCTTGGTATGCTATATCTCAAAAAGTTTTCTTATTCTAATGGTTTTTGAAATACGTAATTTATGTTTTAACTTGGATTTCCCTAGATATGTGTGAGGTTGGGCATATTTTCACATGTTTATTGGCCATTAGAGTTTCCTCTTCTATGAATAACCTGGACATATACTTTGTTCATTTTTTTCTCTTGTAGTTTTGCCTTATTATTGATATGATAGAATTACATTATTAATTATAAATAAGTTATATTATATATTATATATACCATATCTATCAGGACATTAATCCTTTGTCAGTTACATAAAATTCAAATATTTTCTCTCAGTCTGCTACTTATCTTTTAATGTTTAATGCTATCTTTTGCCCTCAGAAGCTTTAAATTTTCATGTAATCAAATTTACCAGTGTTTTGCTAGAAGATTTCTTCTTTTTGCATCTTGGCTAAGAAAGTCTTTCTTACCATAAAGACCTAAAGAGAATCTTCTACTCAGGTCTTTAAAATATCTGGAGTTTATTTTTATGTATGATGAGAGATGGGAATCAAATTTAATTTTTTTCCATATCGAAGTTAATTGTCCCAATACCATCTACTGAATATTCCATGCTTTCCTTACCCTATACAGCTAAACAAATACCCAAACCGACTATGGGCTAGACAGTGTTCTAGGCACTTTGAACACAGCATTAAAAACAAACTAAAATATTACTTTTGGTATTGTGATTCTATTTCATTAAAGTGGTCAGAATATCCCTGACTTTTGGGACTTATATTCTACTTTGGGGAGATCTATGATTGAACATAATAAATAGGTATATTATGCAGTAAGTGGGAAGGTGGTAAATGTTATGGAAAAAATAGAGCAGGGTAAAGGAACTTGGGGGTATTAGGTTGGGAGGGATGGTTGTAACTTTAAATAGAGTGGTCTGGGTTGATTTTGTTGAAAAGTTGACATTTGGTCAAAGACTTGAAAGAAGTGAGGGAATTGGCATGTGAATATTTGGGGGTTAATAAAAGCTAATACTCACAGATACTATGTGCCAGATTTTGTTTTAAGCACTTTACATATATTTACTCATTTAATCCTCACAAAAGCAGATACTTCACAATGACCAATATCTGTGAATTTCACAAAAGTTTCCGGTGGGGTTTTTCTTGGAATTTCTTCATACAGAGAGAGACACATTACTTTGAGGGAGGCCTGATACTCTTACAACATTGCATCTTGCCATCCCGGAGCACAGTCTAGCTTCATATTTATTCACAGCTTCTGTTATGTTCTTCAGTAGTTCGATGGTTTTTCTCAATAAACACTAAAGAAAACGGACTTTAAACTATTTTATGTAGCTCATCACTTCAAACATTTTTTACTACAAAACCTTTTTTCTGTTTTTAAAGAATACCTCTGAACATCCACATACCTTACACTGGGAAACACTGATCTTGTTCACCCCTCTGCTCTCTGGTGTATACAAAGCAAATTCATCCATCCTAGACTGTCTCCCAAAGACATTTTACAGCAACCACAGTACTGTTGAAAAACTTGTATCATGGGGAAATTTCCCCTAAAATCGATTCCAAATCTTTTATGTTTAAGTTTTACCGTCCCATCCATTCTTGTATGCTCACCAGAAGTAAAATGATTTCGAGTTCTGATACAAAATCAACTGCTACATATTTATGGAATGCTTATGATATGCAAGAAAAAACTTTAAGACATTAGCTTTGCTGGACAAGGAGGTTGCAACCAACTTGGAATTTCCAGGATATTTCCCTGTGCCTATTCCTTGATATTTCTCTGCCCTTGACCTGAATAACCCTGACTTTTCAAGAGGTGGCCACAATGTAAGGCAGAAACAAATGGGACAGAATAGGCGGACACATGCATTCCCTTAAGGCACTTATTTAGAAACCGGGGTAACAGTAGCAAGGTGTTGGGAGGACTTTGCCGGGCAAGTTGTACACGTGATACTCTCTACCCCACTAACATAGATAGCTTAGGTTTGCTGAGCCAGCACCTTCCAGAAATCTGTAATCATATTTTTTAATCCCACTTTGAGGCAGCCTACAGTAAGACACATGCGCAGAAAGTGCTTAACTAGAAATCAACAGCTATATATAAAAAGGAGAGTTAATTGGACTAGGAATCAGATAAAAGATCTGATTAATGAGCATGCTATTTGCTCTGAGATTCCTGGAAGCCAAGCAAAAATGGAACCATGGGAGTTCAAGACTGCTACATACCAGTGCATGTGGCCTCAGTTGTGAACATGGTAGCCCACCCCTGCTTTAGCCTCTCACCTTTATCTTCTTTTGTCTTACAGTTTGGCCTGATTTAACAAACTCAATTTGATCACTTCCTTGCCTTTATAATATATTTGATATAAAGAAGACAATTCGTAACAAATAGGCAGTTTGAGATGAGAGCCATTAATATTTATCTTTTAGCCATCAGACTGACTTCACATGGAAAAGTTGCTGGGTTGGATTGTAACTCTCAGGCTCTCAAAGGTAAACACCACAGATCCCATCAACCAGATTATTACTCTAAGGTAAAAGGTCTTGGGGTTCTCTTCTAACACCATCCTCCACAAATATTCCCCATCTTGTCCCTTTCCTACCCTTTCTTAATTTACTCCACTGACCTCATTAAAAAAAACTGGTTGCTCGGTGCATGAACTAAAATACCTTAAAGAATGTGCAAATTTGATTGTTTTCTCTCAAGAAGGTGAAAGGAAGAGAGCTACAATTTCTAAGAAGTTTGGTTTGATTGCCTGAGTCTGGGCCCCAGGCAGATTAGACCAAGATTTGGCCAAGTGAAATTGCCAATTCCCTCAAAGAAAAGGCTAGTACATTGCTCATTAGAGTGTTCTGGACTTCCCTGGACAATCTTTTTGCAACCCTGCAATTTCCTGTTGGTTATAAATGAAACCTTTCTAGCTGTTAATGCAGCCTGTGAATTGGAAGAAAAAGAGCATGTAATTAATCATAGGAGTTGGGGGGATTCACCAAGCCTGAGTTATAGGGGAGAAGCCGGACAAGGCACTAGGACCTAGAAGGCATCTATCCACCCTGGCAGGAATTTCTTGCTTGGAGCTCAGACAACAAAGGCATAGGGAGATTGGTTTTCTTTCTCTCAGCATCTCCACCCAACCAGCAGAAAACCGGTGAGTGGGGCTTTCAAGTGGTTTTCAGGCAGAACGTAACAGATGTCAAACGGGAAAAGCACAAGGAGAAGCGTGCTCTGTCTCTTTTTCTCTCCTCTTTTTTTCTTTTTCACTTTATTCTATTGGATTTTTTCCCCCTAAGCCTCTACCTGGGATTTTCCTTTGAAAAAGTGAGTTGAATGTTCCTTTGTTTTCACTGTGATGCTGATTTAGAATAATACCGCCGCTGATCCTAGAGCAAAGCCAAGTGTTACTGGCACGCCTGGGGAAATGCTTCGCTACTTGTCTTGAGGAGGTGGGGTTTCTTACCACTGCAGGTTGCCTGACAGAGACAATGCTGAGCTCAGCACAGGTCATGGTGACATTGGAAGAAAAGAGGGACTGAGTCTGGCAATCCTGCTAAGCACCAGTCTTCCTTTATCTCCTGTCCTGCTGGTCCCTTGCAAATATCTCGATGTGGCAGCATGTAGCAGCTGAGCCCAGCTTGCTTTGTGAGTCCTTTTATCCCCATCTGTGAGATGCATGTTAATAGTTTGGTTCCTAGGCTGTCACTACCTTTGCTAGCTTTGGGGGCTTCTGTGTGTTGTATTTGGTTACATGTTGTGATTTTTTTCTTTTTCTGTCTACTTTTTCTTTTTTTTGGTTCAGCATTAAAGGGGGGGAAACATCTGACATATGACCATTTTTGCCTCAGCTAATGCACCTGGGCAAAGACAAGTTGGAGGGTGAATTGCCTGTTGTAAGGGCAAAATGCCCTTTTCTGTCAGGGTAGAACTCCAGAACAATGAAAGGTGTGCTTGCTTCTAAAGGTCCCATATGCTATTGAGGGACTTGTTTGAGAATCTTTCAACGATTAAATGATTCCATTAAGAGGTGGAGCTGCATCACTGAGGAGGGATAGAGCACATAAAAAAGAGAAAAGGATTTTGTGACCAAATGGTACTGGGGGAAAGCAGAGCTAGTAACTTGTTAAATAACTGATTTTTCTATTCTTTTTTCTTTCAGCTTATTTCTATGAATGTTGGATAGCTTCACCAGTTTGGTGGGGAAAGGGTTTGATGAATAGCACAAAGACACAGGCTATTCCCTGGAGGCTGATCCTTTAAAGGAGAATCCTGGTTTATTCTGGGGGGAGGGGGGCGTGGGGAGGGGATGCACATATTAGAGTAGGAAAAAGGGTCTGGAATTGAATTTAAAAACGGTCCTTTGTGGTCATTTTACTGAGATGCAAAGATTGCTTCCTCAGCTGGAGATGCTAACCTTGGCTAGCTCCTTCTGTTCTCTTCAAGGGAAATTTTGTCAGGCTATGGATTCATTTACAACTGTTAGTCATGTGGGCATGTGTGAGGAAACAGATGCCAATTTTAATGTATTTAGCCCGAAGTTACAATTTGATAGGAGCCACTGTCAGGAAGTCCCAGGATTTTAAGCTATTTCAAAATCCCTCCCTCTCCCCCATACGGAACAATGCCCCAAGTATCAGCACCTCCCTCTATATCTCTCACCCCAACCCCCACAAGCAGCAGCACCCCAAGCCCCTCCTTCTTCTCTGTTCAGATCAATATTCCTGCAGGTCAGGGGCAAGCAGCAGATGGGTCACGGGCTCCTTTCAACCAGTTCTTTTCACAAGCAGCAGATTGCAGGTCTGGATCGGGCTAATATTTGAATCCCTTTCTCTTTTTTTTCTCCTCACCCCTTTTCTTTGCCTCTTTTCACTCCCACCCCTTTGTCCAACACTCAGGTCTCTGAGGTTCCACCAAAATATGGAACTTGATTTTGGACATTTTGACGAAAGAGATAAGGCATCTAGGAACATGCGAGGCTCACGGATGAATGGGCTGCCTAGCCCCACTCACAGCGCCCATTGCAGCTTCTACCGAACCAGAACCTTGCAGGCACTGAGCAATGAGAAGAAAGCCAAGAAGGTACGTTTCTACCGCAATGGGGACCGCTACTTCAAAGGCATTGTGTACGCTGTGTCCTCTGACCGTTTTCGCAGCTTCGACGCCTTGCTGGCTGACCTGACTCGATCTCTGTCCGACAACATCAACCTGCCTCAGGGAGTACGCTACATTTACACCATTGATGGATCCAGGAAGATTGGAAGCATGGATGAACTGGAGGAAGGTAATTCAAGGAGTGGGTGGTGGCCCTTGGTAGGAGGTGGCATCATCGGTATTGCTTGCATTGCTTGGAATTCATTGAAAGAAATTAGGAAACATGTTTGTCAAAATGCCAGGTTGATGCTGAGACTTCTGATTTTATAGGCATCAACAGAACCATTAGCCATTACCCTCTGTGGCCTTCTTCAGTCTCTGCTGCAGTGGAAGTGTGGCTGGTGGTGATAATGCATTGTGCTTATCTGCCAGGGTATACAAAGAAAAATGTGAACTGTGTCATTTACTCTAGATTTTGTTCATAATTAACTCAAAGTAGCACTATCGAGGCACACAATGAAATCATTAGGGGTGTTAAATGGAGTTGGTTGGATCAACAGAGAGAAACTACTATATCCAAATATTCTTTGAACTGCTGAAAGACTATTTGTGAGTTGCAGCTCATGAAAATATGCACCCTAAAAGCAGGTCTTCCTGAACATAGTCACAAAGGATTATACTTTTAGGTAAATGGTCACTGCTCAGCTGTTGCTTCTAAAAAGCCCACTTCAGGGTGTGTCCCTCAGGCTGAGGTCACTGAGAGAAATACCAAAGAAAGCTGTAGGTATGTTTGGTATTTTAATACAGACTGTTCCTATTAGAATAGGAACTGACTCACTATACCTAAACCCCTTTAAATGCTCTCTAGATTTTGGTTTTGCAATCACATTTTATGATTAGATTGCTGGAAATTCTGACAACCAGTATACCCTCTCAAAAATAGGGAAAATCTCATCTCTTACCAAAACTTGCTCAGTCACGAAGTCTTTCCTGTGGTCCTTTAGAAAATAGATCTTGGGACACATTCTTAATGTTTTACTTCATCAACTCAATTATACTGAGGATGCCTCCCAACCCCCACTTTTAAATTGGTATAACATATGTGATCTGTTTAACCTGACACACTGCTTTAAAGGACAGCTTCAAATGATACTGATTTCATTATCAAAGGGTGGTGATAATGAAATCATCACCCCAAAACGTGTCCCCTATGCTCTTGCCCTCCCTCCTCGCTCCTTCCATTCCTTGAGCAAAGGTGAGTTTAGAGCAGGCAAATCTCTAGAGAAATCAAATTAAGAAACAGCTGGCAGGGAAGGAGAAATAGTACATGAAATAATGGTGTAGGAGTGCCCCTCCTCCACTTCACTGCTTCTAGGTTTCTTGTGTTCCTAGACAAAGGAACATGAGGGCTTCCCTTGTATAAGACCACGTTCTTGTAAGTAGCTGCTGTGATCAAGTGATTTGGGGCCAGTTACTTAGAGGAGACAGTGTCCATATGGCTACTGGATCTGGTTCTCAGGGCTCAAGTCCGAGGTTTTTCTACATAGCTAACCTGGAAAGCAGTGCTGAGGAGGCTTGAATTATTCGATCATGTGCTGAATGGCCAGGCAGAGGTTAATCTTACACCTTTTCTGAACATTGAAGGATAGGCTGTCCTAGCGCATATCTTAAAAGAAAGGAGAGTCCGGCAAACTTGAAGGACTTGAATCAGCCAGGTTGAGGGAGCTGTCCAACAGAGGGATCCATAGGGAGTGTGTCTTTTGTCACTGTAAAATCCTCCTCTCAGTTGAGTTTGAGGGGTTTCTCTGTAATAATTTTCTCAAACAGAGCACCCTGAATCACCCACTAAGTCCTCATTTCCACTAACTGCGGTCTTTTAAAGACCATGATAGATGCCAGGGCAGAATTCAGAACCAAATGACATTGTAATCAGAGCAAGGATTAGAGTGTTCTTGTGTCTGATATAAGAGGGGTATCATGCACAGATTTTTTTACTCAAATCCATTTTTTTAACATGTCTTGCTCAAGGACAAGCCTTTGATATTAATTTTTCTCCCTGGTTGTATGTGTGTGTGTGTGTGTGTGTGTGTACTGGGGGGATGGGTGTTGTGATAATCTCAATTCAAATAGGTAATAAATGTAATTTTGAAAATTGCAGCTTTCTTTTTTTGGTCTTTTTGAGGCCTGGAAATCTTATACATTGCTTCCCAAGAGACTTCAAATTTAGAAAGTTTGGAAAGATCCCTGAGTGAAGAATCAGGGGCATAGAGCTCTAGTCTTAGAGGCAGAAGATTATAACAGGAAAAGGAATCTTTAGAATTAGATTTGGTCAACTCCAAGATCCACCACCTGCTAGCTTGTGTGTTCCTGGGGAAACCATTTAGACTCCCTGAGCCTCAGCTTTTTATCTGCAAAGTGGGAATAACTGCTTTGAAGATTAAAGAAGACAATAAATATGAAGTGTTTAGTGTTCTACCTGATGCAAAGTAACACTCGATAAAGGGTAACTATTACTGAGTCATCCTAGTTTATAGCTGGTTAGCTACATGGCCAGAGATTTTTCCTTATCACTGTGGCTAATGTTCTCTTTTTAAAAAACAACTTTATTGAGGTATAATTTGCATACTGCAAAATCCACCCACTTAAGTGTATAATTCAATGATTTTTAGAAAATTTACCAAGTGGTTCAACCATCATCATAATCTAATTTTAGACCATTTTTATCAGCCCCCACCAAAAGACTCTGTATCAATTAGCCATGACTGCTCATTTCTCCTTTTTTCTCCAGCTCTGAGATAACTCATCTACTAGGCACATTTTATTTAAATTGAATCATACACTGTGTGGTCTTCTGTGACTGGCTTCTTTCACTTAGAATAATGTTTTCAAGATTTATCTATGTTTTACCATGTATCAGCACTTCGTTCCTTTTTATTGAGGAATAATTTTCCATTTTTAAAAAGTGGAATATTCTTATCAGTAAAATGAGATGAGTAACACCTGCCTTATAAGGGTGGTTGTGAGAATAAAATTAGATAATAGATATGGAAATACATTGACAAGGTAAAACTAAAGCTACAAGGTACTATTTTTATTAATGATGTAATAGTAATAATACTAATAAAGATGATGCTAGTGAGGGGTTAGATTGGCCAATGGTTCCCAAACCCAGCTGCCTTTCAAAATCTTTTAGAGCCTTAGAAAAATAACAATTCCTGCGCCAATTCCAGGTCTATGGAATCAAAATCCCCAGGGCTAGGGCCCCAGAACCTATGTTTTTAGCAGTCTCCCCAGGTGATTCTTATGTGCACTGAAACCTGGGAAGTACTGGATTAGGTGATCTTGATGAGCCCCTTCAGCTAACTACAGCGATAAGAGTTCTAGGAATGTAGAAATCCTTGTTTCTATTTATTGCTTTGTAGATCTTAAAGGAATAATGGAGCATAGAACATCCTATGTTTCCAAATAGCCACATTATTAAATATTTAGCCTAAAGTAAAATGAAATAAAAAGCAATAAATAAAAAAAAATAAATAAAAAGCAAATCACTCTGCCCTGTGGCATTCCTTTGTCTAATGCCTCTAGTCTACTGTCTGCTGGTAGATACTGAGGGTAACAAGGGGAGCATTGAGATCAAAGTCAGGTTACTGATGGCAGCTTTCTGACAGCAGCTTGGGTGCATGGAGGGTCTTCACCACACCATAGAGGATGTGTCCATATACATATTAGCTGTATTCCCTGTGGATCAATGAATGAAATATACTGATGACTTATCCTTTTTCCCTGCTTAATCTTTCATTGTACAATCATTCGCCTTCTCATACCCTGTCCAAGTCCTTCTCCACTTCCTTGTGAGTACCCAGATCAATCTTAGGGTTATCATTCTGAGTATTATTATGCAGACCATGGGACAGTCTTATTGCAAACTCTGAGCTGTGTGGTGACACTATCTATCATCCAGTTCCTTTGCTATAGCTCATTTGTTCCCATGAGATGAACCCGCCTTTTCAGTAACTTATCCTGTACTAAATAAAGCAAGCACATTGCCAAAGGGGAGAATTTTAAGATACTTAGGTGAGAGATGCATCATTAATAGGCTTAATACAATAAAATACTATTTAATATTGTACTTCTTGAGTGAGGAAGCCCTGGAAAAGAGAAAGCCGAGGCAGAAGTGCTTTTGCACTGAGAAAATATAAATATGCTTAATGTTTTGGAACCTTTCTGGAAATGAGGGGAAGTAGACATTAGATCATCTTGAGCCCCACAGCTTGTTCCCTTCCTGCCCTTTCAGCTGTGCTTCCATGACCTCATTTCCTTACCTCCTCGCCCTGAAGTAGATCATCAGTTCCAGCACATTTTCACCTTGCTTGGCTCTGAAGCCAGCTTTCCTTCTAGGCTCCCAATGGTTGAAAATGGCCACTGGAAGCTGTTGCAGAATGGGAACCCAGCTGTGTAAAGGTGCAACACAGTGCCAGGCAGCTGGTCATGCAGGAAGCACTGAGCTCTGCAGACGTTGCAAACGTTTGCAAAATCAGAACAAGCAAGCTTTGGTCTAGAGAAGCAGCACATTTGATGTCTTTCCAGTAGTGCAAGTGGAGAGTCCTCCGTGGTGGACAGCTATTTCTTTAACAATTAATTACAGTAGCAATTTTGTCTCCTAAAGTCTGTGTGGGATAGAAAAGAGAAGAAAATTCCTTTTCATAGACCTTTAGGGCTAGAAGGGTCTCAGATGTCACCTAGTATAATACCTTTAATTTATAGAGGGCGATACAGAGATTAAGTGATTTACTTGAGGTCACACAGCTTGTAAATGCCTGGTTAGGATTTGAATCCAGATCTGACTCCCCAAGTCGCTGCTCTTAACCACCATTAATATCCTGCCCTGTGGTGGGGGAAGCTGGTAATGGGGGAGGCTGTGCATGTGTGGGAGTAGGGGAATATGGGGAATTTGTATACCTTCCCCTTACTTTTGCTGTGACCCTAGAACTGCTCTAAAAAAAATAAAGTCTTAAAAAGATACCCTGTGTTCAATGTACATCAGCAGTGGCAGCAAGTGGCTTTGCTGGCTGTTAGCCGTAGAGCTCATACATTTGGCATTTGTAGCAAGCACTTCCCTCAACCGGCAGGAAATCTTCTCTTGAAGACATGGTACCCAGGCAGTGCCCAGGGTATATAATGATTATAGCTCAGTTCCAAGCTGGCTGCCCTTGCTTCTTTCTCTTTCCTTTCCTTCAGCTTCTACCCCTCCTCTTTTCATCTCGTTTCTCTCAACCCTTTCTTTCTCCTTTCCATCTTTACTCTTTCCTTCTTGTTCTCACTCTATTCCTTCAGATTAGGGACTTAACAGTAATGATAGTGGGAACTTATCAAGTGCTGACTGTGTACCAGGCTCTGGGCTCAGCATTTTACATCCATCATCTGATGTGTGCCTCACAGCAGCCTTATGAGGTAGGTATTGTTATCATCCTCACTTTGCAGACAAGTAACTGAAGCCAAGGGAAGTTAGTTGATACCCAAGGGCACACAGCTAGGAAATATTGGGGACCCCATTCTGACTGACATTACATCAGCTGCTCTTTTTCCATTACTCTCTATTAGGGCCAAAAGGAGAGTAAGGAGAGAGACTGAAATGTACTGTTGGAAGGTGCTCAACATAGATGTGGCTGAGGGCTGGGCCCTCTGGAAAGTTCTTAGGTGCCATATGATACTATAGCTATCTATCATCATTTTCATTTTCATCTGGGGGTGGTTAATCATACTTATAGTTCAGAGGCTTAAGAGGTTTAAGAGCTGGGGGCAAAAAAAATCCTGAGTCCTAATAGGGCTACACAGCTGACTCTCCAGAGGAGACTGGATGAGTGATATCATAAATATACAGCCTCACACATTTCCACACCACCAGTTGTCTGACCGTGTTTTAAAGTACATGACAAGTTATGGAAAACGTCTGACGCAAAGGCAATGACTTCTTGGAAGGTGCCCGTGAAGTTGGTGGAGTGCTAAGGCAAGAGACCATTTCTATGGTGTGAGAGAGATTGACTCAGAGCATGTGGGGAAATTGAAAGGACCCTTTCATCCTTTAAATCACAATTAAAGATCCCAGTCTCTAAACACATGGATTAGGTTGGATTAAGGAGCAAGGGAGCCAGAGAAATTAGGGTTTCTTTTAGCTGAGATCTTTGATCACCCCACAGACCTTGAGTGTGTGTGTGTGTGTGTGTGCACCAAGTTGCCCGGGGGTGCCTGTGCGCTCCCTTACAAACCATGCCTTGGTCTCCCTGTGGACAGAGAACACTAGCAGCTTCGGAGACTCAGAGGAGTGTTGGAAACCACTTACCCTCCCCCTCCACACACACACATAAATGTCCTCAAAGGTGCCCTAGAGAATCTTACTGAATCTTCTCTCAGCCCTGAGAAATTTATTAATTAACATGACTTAAAGGATTTGGTGCTACAGCAGAGCAATCAATATTTGCAAAGGGAGTGAATTATCAGCCGAGTGTTTCTGAATGTTTCTGCATGGTTCTTCTGCTGAGACCAAAGGAAGAAGAGCCATCAGAGTATAATTGCGTTTAATGCTTTTTTTTTTTTTGGCACTAGCTAGGGTTGATTTTTTAATTTATTTAGAGTTATTGTTAATGAGTTAAGCTTGATTAAATCACACTGGTTTTCTGCAGCTTGACCTCTGGATGAACTTCTATATACCTTGAGGCTAATGTGTTTTACTTGACAAATTCAACCTTTTCCAATACTCTCTCCCTCAGGCTGAGCCTATCCCTCTTCCTCTTTCCTCCAGTTTCTAGTTCCAGGTGTCTAATCCCCTCCTCTTGCCTCTGGCTCTAGCGTTTCTTCCGCTGTATTAGTCACTTCCTCAAGCCCAAGGTAAATGTGAAAATTACACTAGATCCCTTCAATCCATAATTCAGGCTGTATAATATATCCTCACATCTCTACCTCATTACTTATAGCACCCAAGGGTGAGCACTGGTGAAGATAGCCCTGAATATACAGATCTAGTGTATAACATTTGGGAAGATGGAAAGATGAGGGGTGGGTGGTGGAAAAAGAGCAGAGTATTTCTCAAGTAAGAGTAGACTTGCAAACACAAGGCATGATGTGTGTGTGTGTGTGTGTATGTGTGTGTGTGTGTACGCACATAGAGTTTGTTATTCAGTTTCTCCACCTGGGTGTGGGGGTGAGCAGTAGAGGACACAATTATACACACATATATACATTCACCACACACACAAACTCATACACACATATTTCACATTTCAATATTACATAGCTTAGCCATATACTCAGTGCAAAGGACAATCTGGCTTCTTGGCAAGTATATACTGTATGCCAATACTATGCAAGGATGTTGGGTCACTTGAACTTGGAATAAAAATGTATTAACTTTGGTTCATAATATAACAATGGAATGGATCTGTGAGTCTAGAAACAGGACAGGAATGTTAAGAAACAGAAACATGTTAAAAACACTCCAATAATGCCCCTAGATCTTAACAGTCTAGAAATTAATGCAGATGTTTCAGTTCCAATAAAACTGTATCAAGCTTGAGAACCCTGCTTGTTAGATTATACTTCTGGGTGTTCATTGTCCATAGGACCCTTAGCTTTATAGGATCTTTAACTAGGTATGCCCTTAACGAAGAATATTTTGCTGATTACTTGCTCTTGAGTTTAAATGAACCAGGCTGTTAAGCCCAGTTAGGAATTGTACCTAAAATTGGTCATTATCACCATTTCTCCAGAAGTCCAACTCCAAGGTCAGCATGTAGTAGTTTGGTTAGACTAGTCCATGTATCTGCTGCTATTAAACTAATCACACTTATTTCTTCCCATAGGGGAGAGCTATGTTTGCTCCTCAGACAACTTCTTTAAGAAGGTGGAGTACACCAAGAATGTCAATCCCAACTGGTCTGTCAATGTGAAGACATCCGCCAATATGAAAGCCCCCCAGTCCCTGGCTAGCAGCAATAGTGCCCAAGCCAGGGAGAACAAGGACTTTGTGCGCCCAAAGTTGGTGACCATCATCCGCAGTGGGGTGAAGCCTCGGAAGGCTGTGCGTGTGCTTCTGAACAAGAAAACAGCCCACTCTTTTGAACAAGTCCTCACTGATATCACTGAAGCCATCAAACTAGAGACAGGAGTTGTCAAAAAACTCTACACTCTGGATGGAAAACAGGTAGGTCCTTTTTTTTCCAAAGTATTCTTCTCATTTGTTCTGAGTCCTTGGATGACCATCTTACACCTCAGCCATCATCTCTGGTTCAGGGTCTCTTCCTCTACCTGTCATCATCCCTACCTGATATTTGATGTCTCATGTGAAAGAAAGAGAAAACAGACAAAGCATTGGACCAGGACTCTTAGGCTTTGAAGTTCAATCTGCTTCTGACTTACTGAGTAGAATGGTCTCACTTAGCCTCAGCTTCCTTATCTGCTAAGAAAAGATGTATTAGAACGGAGGTCCTACCTAGTCTTATAAATATGAATTTGGCTATTGCATGAATAACTCTCATTGTTAAATGCGTATGACTGGGAATGAGATTTACCCATTCATTTCTTCTTAGATGACCTCACATCGGTATTCAATATCCTTTGCAGTGAAAAGAGGTGGGAGTGTCCCTCGTATTGTATGGAAGGGGTTAGACGTGGGGGAATCAGTGAAGTCTCCGGTTCGTTGTCTTTGCCTTGTACTAGATCACATTTTTTCTTTCTCCCTTTTCTTTGTGACATTAGCTGTCTTAATTTGGTTCCACTGATGGTTTCTGTGCAAAAGGGACTATTTCAGGATCCTAAAATTAGCCCAAGAAAGACGCTGCCATCTGTTTCTCTCCAAATCAGCTCCTTCATGTCATTGGTTATGCTCCTAAAGTGCCACCTATATTAATATCTGGGAAAGAATGCAGCCAGGCGTCTCCATCAGACAGATGCACCATTCTCTTGAGCGTAGGGAGCTGTAAATGTACAGCAAAAAATGTTCCAAGGGAATTGTAACAATGGCTGGTTCTGTTGGCTCAAAAGAGAATCCTGGTCCCTCATCAGAGAAGACAAGTGTGGATTATTATCAGTCCATATTTTCTACCTCTTAAAATACCTTTGGTGCTTGAACATCTATAAGGAGTCTAAAAAAGCATATCCACCATGCATCAGAAGGACTGAAGAGTGCTCAGATGCAGAACTGGGCCTTTTCCCATAGTTTCTGATATACAGTGTGCTACCAGATTTTAGGTTTCTTGGAAACCTCAGACTTATATATTTGGTGATTTTTGTAGTCCATGGCTTCTGTCTGTTCTCCCTCATATTGTGATCTGGGAGAAACCTGGAGACATTGGTTATATGTGACCTGTGTTTGGTGTACCAAAGCAATAACCTCACTTGGGAGCAGAAAATGTCCAACTCCCAAGCACCTCTCTAAGAGTAACTCTTTTCTGAGGACCAGGTGTATAATAAATAGAAGCTGCCCAGGAACAGGCTTCATCACCAGAAACCTCATCTCAGAGAAACAGAACTTAGGAATTTTAGGATCACTGGATCTCAGAGTTGAGGGTAGCCTTAGAAGTCATGACATTTAATCCCCCACCTATGGCAAGGGTATACTCTACAGCCATTTCAATGTCATGAGACAGCCTATGCCACTGTTGAACAAATGTGATTTTTAGAAAGATTTTCCTTATATTGGGCATAGGTCCACTTCCTTGTATCTTCAGCCTCTTGAAGTAACGCAGAACAAATAGAAATCAAGAACATAAGACTGGGATTCAAAAGACCTGGTTTCTAATCTAGATATTGCCACTTAACTGTCCTGAGCTTCACACTTCTCTGTACAAAAGGGTTGAGGCACCTGTCTACCCATGCTCACAGGGTTATCGTGAAGATCACAGGAAATAATGGAAATAAAAGCACTCTGTATATTAAAACATGTGAGGTAAACATGTATGCATGCAGATGATCATTAAATGAGATGAAATATGTAAATTGTCTGACAATTTATATAAATATTAATAAATGTTAGCTCTCTTCCCCCTAGTTGACCTCCATCACTCTTAGCATGAGTTTTCAACATTTTGTGGAGATATACCAAACCTTGACATTCTGTGATGGCTCCTGGTAATAAATAAAGGGACACCTCCACCTCCTAAGTAAGCAAGTTCCAGTCCAGTGATGGGTGGATTTTCATGCTGCAGCAAGCCCTCTCCAACTCCTTCGAGCACTGGCTCCCATTACTTTGGGGAACACATTATGAAATGCCAGTGTATGATACAGTGTGTGTACAGAAATGTCAGGGAGCAGTGCTCAAGGGAGCAAAACAATGCCTTGTCAGGCATTGGTGCCTCTGTATCTTTGTTTTTTAAAATGTGTCCTTCTGCCTACTTTGTCTCCTGGGGGAGGACTTTTAAAGCCTAGCTCTAATGTCATATTATCTCTGACAATTTTTCTGTCTCCTTTTACTATGCAAAGTGAAAGCAGCTTAACTTTTTTTAATGTTCAGTTCCTGATATATTGAAGATGCTCTATAAATACTTGTTGATTGAATCGACTAACATAAAGACATTCTCACATGGCCCATATAGATGTTCTGAGAACAACATTTGCTTTCAGTGCCCCAGACACTATCCTTAGTCTTTCAGAAGAGATAGGGGGCTTCCAAAGGAGTTCATATTCCACCCAGGGGGCTCCTATCCCCTACTTACTTGGAAGTCACTGAGGGCAGACATTTAAGGGAGTATTTTTCAAAGTATATTCTAAGAACTTTCCCCATCTCCTTGTCCCTTGAATCTCTTTAAAAGTATTCTGTGGTCAAATAAGGTTGTGAAATTCACAATTATATGCCTTTCCTAGAGATTCACAGTGTTCACTGGCACATTAAATATTCTGAGAAATCCTGCAGAAATAGAATTCATTTCATTTAGACTCATGATTTTCCAATCTTATTAACTACAAATGTATTTTCTGGAATATATATATATATATTTTCTGGAGTATATATATATATTGGGCATAGGTCCACTTCCTTGTATCTTCAGCCTCTTGAAGTAACGCAGAACAAATAGAAATCAAGAACATAAGACTGGGATTCAAAAGACCTGGTTTCTAATCTTGATATTGCCACTAAACATATATATATATATATGTTTCCTGCAGAGCACACTAAGAAATGCTGTTTACAAAAATGCTGAATGATTAGAAGTTACTGTCCTGACCTCGCTGGTAAGATTGGTATGCAAGGAGTAACCCACAAATCGTTGTTGTGTGGTTACAGCAAGGACATTAAAGAACAAAATTTGGTATTGCAGGCTCATTCCTACTAATTCCAAAATAGGTGCCGAGTATACTGAAAGTTGGTGCCAAACTCAAAATTTTGGAGCCCAGCCCACTTCCCAATTCTGGTGACGACAACTTTAATGTTAACACCTGTCAGTCACTTTGATTACTGGTGGGTATTCTTACTACTTGGGAATATGATCTTCCTCTCTACAGGCTGCAGGCACATGTGTTGCAATGGTTTGGACTTTGCTGGGATGAGATTCCATGCCCGTCTTTGGCTAAATGTGGCACTAGGCAGAAAGGACGAAGTGTGGTCAAGGCTATTTGCTATGGAACGTTTTGCTCATGATATCAAGGCCATTACTTGGTTTCAGTCTTACTCTACGTGGATCCCAGATAGACCAGATCAAGTGATCTTCTTCCCCTTTGTTTAAATAATGATCAGTTCAAACAGCCTAGTTGATACCAGATTTCTTGTTGCTTCTGTTCTTGGCTGTACCATTTGATTGATTGGCTTATGCTGATTGACAATCTGCAGACATGGCTCTCATCTCTCTTTCTCTGTTTTTATTTTGTTTGAATGTGCTTGGAGCCCTTGATCTTCTTAGGGCTTATGTTTGGTCCTTATATTCATAGACAAGACTGGTTTCTTGACTTCTTCCCTCTGAGATATTTGTGGTCTGTGTAGCCAGGGAAGCTAACCATCACTAGTAGGAAGGGCTCCCAATTTACTCCTCACCTCATGAAGTAGTTGTTAATAGAATAAGGAGTAGTTGGTATGGCCCTGGCTACTTCCCATGGGCTGTAATGGATTTCTTGGAGGTCAGGGAAAACATGATGAAGGGTTGGCTGATAATGCTTATTAGTTCACTGTAGGTTATGTTGTTTTTTGGGTTCCTTGGCAGCTGGAGTGGTTGTGGTGTGTTGACAAAATTATCCGACCATTAGTTTTTATAATCAAGCCACACATTGGCCTTTATGAATGCATAAAAACTGGAACCCAAATTTCTAGTTCCCTTGGTAATAGGGCTCAGTAGATACATGGTCTAGACTTAAATTCATTTCTGTAAAGCACAGAGCATGGTGCTTCTGTGAGAGATGCAGAGCTTTAATAACTGACTTCCAGCTTTTTGGCATCTTACACAGGGATGCAGCTGGTCCTCACACCATCCATTTCATGCTACACTTATTGGCAACTCTAGTCTCAGCTTTGTCCACATGCAGGGTCTGCGCAGTCAAAGAAAGATTCACTGTTGCCTCAAGATACATGCCTAAGGGATTTAGTATTTGTGTTAGCTTTGTTAGGCCAATTTTCAATTGGGTGAATTTAATTCCTGTTTATTTTAGGTCTCAGAATAACAGAAAAGAAGTTTAAGCTGATTCCAAGATTACCCATAGTCTTGAAAGCTAGAACAGGATCTTTAAAAAATGTTTTGAACCACAAGATGGTGGAATAGGAAAATGAGAGCATGAGGGATGTTTGAACTGCCACTAAGAATTCTGGGAAAGACTTGCCCCTTCCATCTTGCTATACCAAATAACTGGGTGCTACAAGTACAAAGGCAATTGCAAGAAACACAGGAAGACAAGTTGGGTTTAATCTTGGAACTCGAGTACATTTCCCAAGGTGAATGTTTCTTTACTTTGCCTATGCAGCTGGTTTTTCTCTCCCCCTGCCCCTCTCCCCATCATCTAGGCCCCCTTCCAATCACATCTGGTCTTATTTATACTCCTGGCCTCCAGTTCCCCCAGAGCCAACCTCTCTCTCCTCCTAGGTTATGACCCTGTCAGTCAACACTGGGCTCAAGAGGAAAATCCACGTGGCTATAAATTATACCCCAAGAGGGAGGTCATTTATCATTGACCTTCAGTTGAGAAAATCGAGGCTGGAAAGGTGATGTTTGCATTACCAAAAGT